TCTGCACTGACCTCTTTTCCAAATCCCAAGCCTTGAGGAGTCAGGACAAGGAGGAGGCACATCAGTGGTCAATGCTGAACACAAGTGTATCTTCCTCTATGCAGTTTATCAAAGCGGAATTAAAGGGTTCATGTAGGTATTCCTTGGTTCCCTCTGTTTGCAAAGTATGTGCAACTCAAGAGTTTGACATAAACCAGTTCCTTACAGAAAGTGACAAACAGCTCTCTGGATTGGGTGTTTACCCAGCGTCAGGCACTGTGCCAAATGCTTACACTTGCCGTATCAGCTAATCTTCACACATCTCTAGCTCACAGAGGAGGAAACCAACGTTCACCGCTTGCCCAACGCCACACAAGCTAGCCCAGGACAGCCTAAAGCCAAACTCTTTACCTTACGTTAATTAAATGTACCAAAGGGTTAAACTCTAGGAATCCTATTGTGAAACCTCACATAAAAGTTAATAACTACTTGGGTTATCGTTCAAGGAGATTCAAATTTTATACTAGAATAGGCTTCTTTATCAGGGGCTACCAAATATCGTTAAGAATCATTTGCTACCTGAGGTTCCAAAAAAACATAAATTTCATGAGTGCAAATCATCTTTAACCCTCTAGTCTGCTAAAAAGCTAACACAAATGTTATTTTGTTGAGCACAGATAGAAGACTAAAACAGTCCCTTTGACATATAATTTATAACCAGCTAAGATGACAGACCTGCAGAATAATTATGATGCAGTGTCAAAAGCACAACAAGGCAGCTGCAGACACAAGCCATGGAAGGCCACTGTAGAGTGGGGGGGGCGCGGCGGGGGGAGAAGAGGAAAGGGGAAAACTCAAAGAAGTACTGAAATCTTCCTTAGTAGAGACACCTCCCACACAGAGTGGAAATGGGGAGGTGGGGAGGGCAAAGAGACACTTTCCAGAAAGAAGAGCAACAAAGAAACACTGGGTTTGCAGGCTGAGCTCCTGAAACAGAAATGACCAATCATGAGATACACAGGAGAATGAGAAGGCGGTGAGGACAGTGTCCTGGCTCAATTCCCGACTTTGGACCCCATCTTCTGAGGCCATGGGCAGCCACAGACCCCATGTGTGGATCTCGGCTATGCTCTGATCACCCTCCTGAGCGTTACTTCTCACGTCATAATAAAGCTGGCTCTCTGAGGGGAAAAAAGCTCTCCTCTCTTGCAATGCGTTCAGAGCCAAACACACTCAACCAATAAAAATGAAAAGCAGCCACACCAAATTCTCAAAATATGCTTTGCAAAAGGCTAATCCTTAGTATTTTCCACACTAATTTCCAATCTTAAAGTCAGTGAGTCTTTGAAACCCTAGGCCCAAATACAATGAAAACACCTATTTTCTTTTTTTCCCCAAAGCTTTGAAATGCATTCACAATGATGACTGGAATAATACAAAAACAGCCCTTCACCTTAAAAGGTCAGACATGGAACCCCTGCAAGTCCCCAGTTCCTCCATTACACGCTACCCAAGCGTCCCAGCAAAGACCTGGGACGGCGGTGGTCGGGGGGAGCGACGGCTGGGGAGGATGGAGCTGTCTCGCTGTCACATTCGTCACGACCACGTGTGGGACTCCCACCCTGGAGTTTGCCACGGAGTGGCTGAGCCTTCTCCAGGGAACCTAGGACAACACATAAAGCCTTTCTTCTCAACACCAGGTGCTCTTCTCATGCTCTTCAGAAATTCGTACTCAGCCTCACAAAGGAAATGTCAGTGTTCTACTCTACCCACCCACACGGTGCCGACAGGCACCAAAGACAAAGGTTCGACCTGGCTTCTGTGGCCAAGGGTGAAGACACTCAGCAAACCCCACTCTCCCGAACTGCACAGAGCGCCCATCTGTCGGTCGCAATTATGCCCCCAAAATTCATGTCCCAGTTAACATACCAGTTCTTCTCACACCTCTCCACGGAAGATCCCCTGGCATCAGAGAGGTGGAAACCCACCTCCTTACGGGAGCACACCCTTTGATGCCTGATTTGAATCTAAGCCAGTGTCCTATGCACAACAGAGCCCTGTATTGTATTTTTTATACTTGATAATACTTTAACACAGGAATACACACACGTGTGTTTACTTACATTCCCCCAAGTGAAATTCATCTTCCAGAAAGTTACATATGTTTATCCTGTGGCTCTGCACGTCCACAGGAGCATACCAACGTCCGCGGAAAGCCCCACAAATAAAGTAAAGTAAAATGATATTTTAAAACTGCCATGGAAGCAAAATAAACACATAATTTCAGATTCTTCACATGTAAATCTTTCATTATTGACTTAATTACCAAGCACAAGACAAACATTTTACATTTTCTAAGGAAGACTAAAAAGTGGCAACATGCTTAGTGAAAAGTCCTAACATGATGGCATACGGAGCATGAGTGATGAGCCGGTCTGACTTCCTCTCTCCCCTTGTCAGAGCTAACTTTGTGAGCTAGGTCTGCCAGAAGGCAAAGCAGTGGGTCACAGGGAAAGTGAGACAAACATGATATTCCAGCTGTCACAGTGAGATTCTAAAACGTCATTCCTCAGTATCTATGGGGACTGGCCCCGGACCCCTGTGGACACCAACATCCTGGGATGCCCAAGTCCCTTAAATAAGATGGTCTAGTACAGTCAGCCCTCAGTATCCATGGGTTGTGCATCTGAGGATTCACCCAACCCACAGTTGAAAAAAACCCACATACACGGGGACCTTGCAGTTCAAACCCTGTTCAAGGGTCAATAGCAAATGCTAAAAAATTCATTTTAGTAGCTAACATTTACCTGCTTACTTTAACACCCAAATTGTACCCAGGGGTAGAGTCCTCATATACATTTTTAGAAGGCAAGTGGAAATTTTAAAGGTGTTCTTGCCTTTGTCCTTAGCTTACTTAGGTTTTCCCAACGGGAACAGCTCAGCTCTCATTCTTCTCAGCTGAGTGAGCCAACTGGCTCAGACACCACCTCTTCCACGAGGTCCCCCTCCTCTGAGCTGGGGAATCTGCCGTCCCGCCCACATGGCTGTAGTAATGTCTTGTGCTAATCTACTCTGATCTCTCCTTCAGTGGCTGAGTAACTCTCCTCCCTGAATAGAACTTCTTACGCTCTGGTCATGGACAGTAACTTACATATAGTAGCCTGGGTTCTCCAAGGTGCTTCCCCAGCTCCTACCCCTGGATGAAATGCACTCACCCTGTCTTGTCAGCCCCCTGGATAATCTCTCAACCTTAACAACCCAATTCTGATGTTGCCTTTCCTTCCCACCCCTGCCCCTTTCAAACTAGCCCCCAACAATCGGGATGTAGTATCATCCCTGACCGACCTCTGGGGAATCTCTGAAGCCCTGCTCTTCCCTCATTGCATCCTCCTGGCAGGGCCCGTGTCTGATGATCACTTTATCCCTGCCACCTGGAACAGCAGCATGTGAGGCTGTTCAAAAACAGCTGCTGAGTGGTACGTTGATTTGAGACAGAAAGGAAATGAGCCTATGGCCTAAAAATCTGCCTTTCTCTGGATACACACATTATCCAGAATATGATAAAGTATGTATTTTAAACATGAAAAACTTTTATGACCTAATGAATAATACTTCCAGATCAATCATGTATTCATTCTTTCAATGAGCATTTGGGCTCCTTAACATTAGCTGCCAGGAGCTGTGCTGGGCTAGGGCCCCACCAGCCCCCAGGCTGCCTCTGAGCACAGGGGTCAGAACAGGATGCCCTCTCTAGACAGATGAACTACAGAAGCTGGGCCCAGGACTCCACATGCCTGCCTCAGCTGGTCGTGAGCAAGAGGCTCTGCCTACAGTAGCAAATGAGAGGAAGTCCTGACTTTAGGGGCCTCAGATGCTAGTGAGGGAGACAGGCAAATACCCAGTCAGTTCTCAACATTTTCTATGTGACCCTGAAAAATCAGACTTCCGGATACAACACAACGTACTCCCTCTAAATCCTCACCTCACTAAGCAGTGGGACTATAATCATCAATTCGAACCGGGGCCAAGGCATCCCCCTAAGCCAGCAGAGAGTTCTAGTACTTTCAGGAAACAAGCACTGTTTCCAGATTCAAGCAGGCCTCGTAACTGACTACATTGTCAATTATAACCTCATAGTGACTGGCCAGATCACTTCACCAAGGAATACTTTCAATTCGTTTGTTTGATTTTTAAGTCATTTCTTACTTTGCATGTGCTGGAGACTATTTTTTCTGTAATTGTAAATATTTCATAAGATACTTTACTCACTTAGGAATTATTTGCTTTAACAGTTCTTTGGTTAACACTACTACTCTCTAATCTACTAAAGTTAAATACAAAAGATAATTGCTGTTCCCAGCTGCTAAAACACATCAGAATAAAACAAATCTTTTAAAAACAGTAAGCTAAAATAAACTGACTTTCTTAATGTTAAAATATCTCTTCACAGTTAAGAGAAAATGCCTTTTTGTTTTTATACGGAATGTATAAAAATTGCTTCCCTATGAAAAATGTATCAGTTTACCTATTTTCTGAGTTCTGCAAATAATGATCTGAGTTAATGTCAACTACAACTCTCTTCACTTCTTGTTAATCTAATGTACAGAGTAGTACAAACACAAATGTCAAAAGAAGTATGGGGGAGGGGGTGAAAAAAATTCATGGTGATCCAGTTGGCAAAGAATATGGATAACCATTCATTTAAGACTCCTCTACCCAAATAAGGTACCTGTTAAGAGATAGTAAATCTCAGACTTTAATACGCAACTAATGGTTGGGAAGCCGTTGTAATTTTGTCAAATTCGACTAATTCATTCAACAAATATTTATGAAGCATCTCCTGAGAGACAGGAATTGTGGGGGCAGGTGGAAACGAACCAGAGAAATGGAACCAGTGCTCCTGGGGCCAAGTAACCACAAAGCAGGGTCACCATCCAACAAGCTGCCATTCCTGCCACTACAGAGATACTTCATAATACAACTTATTATAAACCCTACTTTCATTTAATACAGAGCCCTACCTCTTAGATTTCTGGGATGAATCTGTTTAGTTCGAGGCATCTTCTTTGATTCAGGGGCCCCTTTTCCTTCTTAAAAACTGTAGGAAGAGCAGGTCACAGAAAGGTGGCTCCATACACCTACTGTCCATCAATTAATCCATGTGCTGAAAAAGAAAAACAGTCACGTTTCACTACCTGCAAAGGGAAAAAAGACAGTTCAAAAGTTATAGCTTACTATAGCACTAATCTAAACTTAACAAATGGTAGCCAAGCTGAAGACCACTGCAAACAATTACTTCCTAACTTTTAATTAAACACAGGACACGTCCTTTTGTCACCATCTGGGCTTTCCCATTAAGAAAACAGGAGAAAAAATATCACTGTCCCTTTACCAAAAAAGAGTGAAAAAGTGAATTGTTTTAAAGTCACATTACAAGGTACCATTAAAGTAGAGCATCATGCTTTGCTGCATATAGTACATGTCTAACCATTTATAAGTTCTTTGGGGACAGACAGGGACCATGTCTCATTCATTCTGTTTTACTGAGTTAACTCAGCTAATATGTGTGGTTGCTATGGGGGGCTGTTCCCCAGTTCTTCCAGTTCTCCCTTCAAGCGCCTGTTAGGACTGTACTTTCTGCCTCCCTGTGTTTAACTAGAATGTGTGACCAGTTCTGGCTAATAACCAGTGAGTGGGAGAGGCAGGCATCACATCCAGGCTGGAGTTATCAAGCAAGATCTCTCAGAGCTCTCTTCCCTGTCTGCCATGGGACAGGCACTGTTCTAGACAGTGAGTCTGACAACACCGAGCTGAGCTCTTGCCAAGTCAACATGACCATGTGGCATAAACACAAGAGATCATTATTATTTTAAGCACTGAGGTATGAGAGTTATTTGTTACTCCGGCATAACCCTGTCCTGACTTACACATTTTAAATACAGTGATTGGAAATACAGTAACAATCCAAAACTTAATCATATCTTGTCTCAAATCAGCTGCCTGTCTCCTCTTTCACAAGATCCTCAAGGATCCTGGGGCTAAAATTTTAGTTTTAGCTTCTTTTGATAAGGCTGATAAGCAAAACCCAAGATGATGTTAAACATTAAATTATGTTTCATCACTAAGCAAGGACACAAGAATGGAATACGAATGGTTTAAAACTTTCATAATATCCAGTACTGTAGAAAAAACAATACTTACTGAGCACCTATTGTGTGCCTATGTACTTCCTACACATCACCTAATTTAATCCTAATGATAACTGGTTAGGTAGCTATCATTTATCCATTTTATAGATAAGAAAATTGAGACAGGAACCTGCCCATGGTCAGCAAACAAGGAATGTGGCACCATGTGCCTCATGTACTTTCAGCATTTATTTCCTTGCTGGACATAATACTTGCCCTGGGGCTTTTATTCAAGACACCGTATAGCACAAGTCATGACTATTTTGGGTTCAAACCAGACTGAGTTCAAAGTTTGCTGTGTGGCCTCATTCAAGGTACCTAACCTCTCTGAAGATCAGATTTCCTGACTGTAAAACTAGGAAACAGTACGTACCTCACTGGGTTGTTGCAAGGACTAAACAAAACAATGTAAATGCTTTGATCACTGCCTAGTACACAAAAATATCAAATATTAATTCTCCTCAAGAAAGCCTCTATGGGCAAGGCTGTATCTAATATCTCACTATAAGATTTTAGAAATTTATGGTTTCAATACAGCAGAAAAGAAACAGAAGGGAAAAAGGCTATAATTAACTTCAGAATTTTATCCCTGATAAGGCGGGATGTGGGCACCGCACAAAAATATTTGCAATTTTTTAACTGCATGGGGGAAAATATGAAATAGGATGGTCCAATCTATGTACTTCATCGAACACTGTGCTAAATGATCTGTAAAAAACATGGTTCGTCAACTCCCTGCACCGAAGACATCCACCATTCAATTGACGAAGCCCCTGTTTCAAGAGTATTTAGAGACGTCAGGGCCAAATAAATTGTACGAATGCTTAACTCTCTTTCTTGTTAAAGCTGTTAAATGATCACGATATTTCAAAGTTTTTAAAGCATGAACTCCGACAGTAATTCAATCACGTGACCCCATAGGATCGGGAGCCTGCTCTTAAAATATGCAAATTTCCAATCAGTACCAGCTTTCCGCTACTCTGTTCAGTGCCAACCCACTGTCCCTAGCTGTCCATCCCAGGTTTAAATCCTTGTAGTCAGGGAGTCAGTATTTTCAAAGACAGCAGCATTGTAGAGACGAACACGAATGACAAACCGTTCCTTTACAAGAAAGATACACTACATGGAGCAAAAACATGACACGATCAAAAAGCGTAGACAGTTGCAAGGAGAAAAAACATGAATGAATGTGGAGGGCGGAGCCTGGGAAAACCCCTCTGCAACGCTGCACTGAACAAAGCGCTTCGCATGCCAGGAGGAGGGGGGAATGGAAGTGCCAGCTCAGGAAGGAGCCTGGAGTGGATGCGGAGAGCAGGAGGAGGAGGAGGACGAGATGAGGCGAGCGCGGCAGCCCTGAGACTCCTCCTCGCCGCCAGCTCCGCCGCCGCCCCCTCCCCTCTCCAGCTGCAACTCCTTCCCCAGCCCGACCCCAAGGCGAGCCTGAGCCGACCCGCGCCCAAACCCACAGCCCTCTTCCCAACTGCAGCAGGCGCGTTCTCCCAACCCGGAAAGAAACTACCCAGGTGTCGGGAGTAAACAGGCACTTAGAGCAAAGAACGAAAGGAAAAGAAAGCCACAAAGCCGGGAGGTTGGGAAGCCGAGGCCTGGTCTCCCTAACCACCCCCCCTCTTGCAAAATGCGTCTGCGGCTGGAACGCGGGTGGGGAGGCTGGGTCCCTCCGTACCTGCTCGTCTCGCAGGACCGCAGTTTGGGCCGCTCGCGCGCAGCGAGGGCACCCTGAAGTGACAAGAGTCTCCCGCACGCAGCCATCCCCTCTGCAAGGTCGGCGATTGCACACACACGCACACACACACGCGCGCCCGCACGCCCCCCGCCCGCGGAGAGGGATGTGGTCCTGCCACCCTCCTCCCGCCGCCGCTCCCTAGCCGCCCTCCCAGCTGCAGCGCCCCCACCACGGAGCCCGCGCCGAACCTGCTGCCAGGACGCCCGGCGGGGCCGCTGCCGCTGCAGCCGGCCCTGGAGCTGCGCTGCTGATGGCGGCGGCCGCAGCCCGGAATCTCCGCGACCCCCGCGCAGCAGCGGCGGCGGCGGCGCCTGGGATCCCTCCTTCACTTGACAATCCCAAACACAAACATAACCTCCTTCGGCTGCTGCTCCAGGTCCCCTGGCTCCGTCCCCCTCCCCGTAGCCGCCCCAGCAGCAGCCACACTAAAGGCCGGCGACTGGCACTCACACCACCCAGCGCTGAAATATTAAACAGGGGAGCCGACCGGGGGGC